TATGTGATGCCCTCAGATTAGTTTCTGATCTCATAATTTACAGTAAATTGTTATTAGCAGCAAAGACATCAAGGATTTATCTTCATTATTTGTACACAGAAAGTAAAAAAAACTTTTACAAGTCTGCTACCTAAGGTTAATAAACTAATAGTTGAAGTTTGACAGCAAAATCTGACCTGCAACTTGAAAGTCAAAAGCAGATCAGCATTTGTATAATCAGACTGTCACACAATTCTTCAGCTGGATCAGAAGTTTAAAAAGGAGCATAGTGTATGAGTTTCTAGGAGAAATACCCCATAATATCATTCTCAACAGTGAGAACAGCTGATGGCCAGGGTACAACCACTGGGATTCTCCCAGGAACAGTAACTTTACAGCCCTGTGTATCTGAAAGTGAGCTATTGCTTCAGTCATTGGCAGATTTTGTCTTTCATAAGTGTATTTCTTGCCTCCTTCCCCCACTCTCCATGCAAGTAAAGAGTATTGAGGCATTCATGTGAGGAAACTGCTAGAAGAAAAAGGAACATGGAGTTCACACCTCAATTTATGGTGATCAGAACAAAAGAAACATGTCCAACTCTAACAACACTCTGCGGCACTGATCAATAGGACATTATGTACCTTGCCCATAGTTTAAAAGCCATAAAACACATACACAATCACTTGATGTTATCAACTGCCCCACTACTGAATGGCGTGGACTGAGAGCAGTATTTAACAGGTTGTGGAATGCAGATGACTGTTCAAAACCACCAAAACTGAAAGCGAAGCTCAACAGGAATTAAAAATACGTTTTGTTTATACATCCCCCTTTCCCATCCTTCCTACTGTCAGATACTCTTTCCTAAGATCTAGGAGTCTCCCTACCATCACAGTGTTCTCCAGGAAGTGATAAATATCTTCCCTAGACTGCTGCCTTCCAAACCCACTCAAAACTAGGGCCTGTGGCCTGCTGTGTTTCTCTGTCCTTTGACAAAAACCAGAAAACTAAAAGTTAAAACGGTTCCCACCAGCACTGTTGACAGTACAAGCCAGTAATAGCCAGTTTAACCATGAATCAGAATCTCTGTCATCAGAAATTAAAAATACTCCAGCCACATACCCTGATGCTTGATGGTGAAAAAAAAAGGCACACATACATTTGTCACCACAATTGCTATGGAAACCTTTATCATGCACCAGGCACTGGGAAATTTCAGGCTGTTACAGCATCACATCCATGGACGTGTCACACAAAGGAAAACTGGAATCTCATGAAAACAAATATCAATCATTAACACTTTGTCCATTTCTAATGCAGATTTGGACAGCTGCCAAAGAGAAAGGAGAAGCATCTGTGAGGCTGCTGTATGTCAAAGTCCCACACAGAGAGCGCTCATGTATGCTGACATGCGAGACAAAGCATGTTGTGCTAGAGATGGGCCAGGGAGAGGATACTACCCCAAAGAAGGAAACAGCTGGCTGGCTGAGACCAAATCGAGCAAAACACCACCCTATCCCACACTTACAGTCTTTATTAGCTTTAGTTCAGCAAGATTTTTTAAAAGGATTGTTCTGTCTTCCTTCGCCATGATATTACAAGCATGGCTTCTAGTATTTACACAAACCTTACCTCTAAACAACAAAAAATTGTTAAGGTTAAAATAGCCAGCCTTCTCTCTTTACCCAGACAGGACATTTCTTACGGAATTAACATTAGATTAGAAGCCAAACTTTGTTCTCTGACAAGCAGGAAAACTTCCATTATTTGAAAAAGAGAAAGTATGGGCAGAATTTGGTTGTATAGATTTCCTGGGAAAAGAACCCTTTCTGGTTCAAGCTAACCTAAATACATATTTATATTCCAGATAAGAAAATGCAGATATTGTTTTGGGTCACTCGAGAGTCAGAATTTAATTTCAGCAAAAATATTAAAGATTTTATTACTTGCTCTTCTGCAGAAGAACACAGCTTGCATGGTATTTAAAGTAGCTTTCTTTTTAACAGAAAACCAAAATCCTAAGAAGAGACTTTATTTTTTTAAAGATTAGGCTAGAAATTCTTTCGTTTTTTATTGTGGTCTTTACTTTTCAGAGATGCAATAAAACCATAAGCTTTTTCTGGAAGAAAAAAATATTAAAAAGCTGCCTGTAAGTTGTAATAAAGCTTGTTGTCAGTTAAAATGGGAAAATGTGAAGCAAAATTATCTTTTGAAAAATTATCTTTATCTCGAAGAAAATAAGCAATAAAAAAAAAATAAAATGGTAAGAGGATGTGCCCAGTAATTAGGTGTGTGTTAGGTGAATATAGTGTGTACTTTATACCATAGCACAAGAATAGGGGTTAATAAAATAGCGAGTATTAGACTTTATCCCTGACCTTAGCATAGACTTGCATGGCTAGGACACCAGAAACTTCCTAAGTGCTTCTCCAATCAGCATACCAATTTTGTTCTTTGAAGCCAGGATAACCAAAGTGATAAATATTTTAAATTTTGAATTTCTCATGCATGCAGTTAAGACCAGGGAAATTGCTGACAATCATAATAGGCTGGAATTTCTGTATTACTTAATGACATGCCAAGGAGTTTTCATTTATTTTATCTGTTTGGGAACAAATTCTGTTTTCTGTGGATACTTTCGATTTTTAAAAGTCTTGAGATTTTCAACCACAGCTTCCAATATTTAAAAATTCCAATTTTAATATTTAAAAAATGCTGTCTCACCAAGTTATCTGGATCTGAGTTTCAGTTTAAGGGGATAAACTTCTGAATGTACAGCCTGCCTGTAGTTGCCCAAGACATGTAGATGTCAACACTGGCTAGAAAGCAATTCAGCAGAAGGGTTATCTGGTTCAGTAGCTGCCTACAGTCAGAATCTGGAATGAGGAGGCACGAATGCGCACAGCTAGTGTCATGTGAGAGATTCCCTAGGTATCCAGGACAGCTGCCTGTGACCGACAGCTACAACCACAGCCCAACACAGACTCCAGCCCGTGCACTTAAACAGCCAGCGGCTGAGGCCGGAGACGCTGGATCAATTCACACAGCAACAAATGCCTGAGTGCAGACAATGTAACTGGGCCCAAGGAGTTTGCCATGAGCTGAACACGTTTCCAGGTGCACTGAGTATTGGCTTAACCTTCATTGACTGCCTGGAGTGCTCAGACACCTCGTAGGTCAACACCTACACAACGCAAGATTCTGGGTTTAGGCTTCTTAATGTAAAGCTGAACACAACTCTGTTTCATGCCCTTATGTTTTCCCACCAGTGCTCCCAAAAGAATTATCCTGGACTCAATCAGCCAGTCAAAATGACTGAGTACACACATATTCTCCTGACACAATAAGAGCACCTTGAGCTGAAAAGGAGGATAAGGCATTATTAAGGATAATGCTGAGGACGTGTTGCTGAGGACAATGGTGATGACCCAGAGGTGACCATTTCCACTGGGAGAAATTACTGAAGTTAACATGTAAGAATTCTCTCTCAAAACAATATGGGGAACATTTTTAGAGGGCTTTTTCTTTGGTTTGCACCTCACTTGTCCTACACCCATGATGAGATTTCTCTACCTTTCTGCCCTTGAAACAGCACTGAATGCTGCCATCCCCACAGCGGTTCCTTGCCTACAGCTATCCCAGGGCATTTCATGTAGAGATATGAGCTCCAAAGACTGAGCAGCTGTTTACAAGCATTAGGCAAGAGACACTCTCTGAGCAACTGAAATGTGGGAGGTGGGGGTCCAAACCCAGAAGGAAAGGACACGGGTGGCAGCACAAGTTAACATCAACTAGAGGGCAGCCCACAGGCTCAAGAATCAGCCTCAGGTCCGCAAGAGAGCTTGTTCAGAGCTACAGTGCCACACAGAATTACAATCTCTCTCTTCACCAACCCCAGCAGCACAGAGGCTTAAGATGCTTCTCTGTATAGTCCATACATCAAGAGCCTATTGTGAAATGTAAGTGCCATAGGCAGTGGTCATCTCCAGTACCATATGGATTTCTTACACAGTTCTGTAACATGAAGCCTGGCACTGCAAGGATACCGTGCATTCAGGCCAAGTGCTTTGAAGGTTCGTAAATCAACCAGTCTTTGAACGGAAAATTATGTTTAGAAACTAAAAAATCTAAAATAAATGCTTGCATCTCATAATGAAAATCTTAACTTAAAAAAATTGCCAGTCAACATGATGATAAAGCTCTAACATTCAATTATGATTCTGAAATATAGAAGGTCCTCATAGAAATCCCGATTTGGGCAACAAAATTGTGCTAAGACACTTCCACAGACCAAAGCTTACTTCCCACAAAGCATACAAAAAGCCCGAGTTTCTCAACTGATTTCACTAAGTATGGCATTGGTACTGGCTTAGTAATTTATTTGTTCTTCATATTTCCTTGCTCTTCCACATTTTTATAGCACTCAAATAATTAACGTTTCATTTTTGCTATATGTAATGTTTCCTCTCTGCTGGTCTGTTTCTTCCTTAGAACTGAAGTTAGGTCCCTAGATTTCCACGTCTTCAATTACAGCTCACAAGACAAAGTTCTACTATTCTTAAATAAAGCAGAACTAATTCAAAGCAGTGTATCTAATTAATCAAAACAGCTAGCAGTGCAATATTTAAAATAACTGAGGTTCTGCCTGGATTATAGCAACATTATTAGCATGTGATTAATAAGCAGTTGAAGTATTACATTTGCTACACATTTGCTAAGCTATTTCATCTTGCTTTAAAGTTTGGTGGCAAAGTTTCAAGCCATAGTTAGGAGATTTGCTCTATTCAGTATTATGTTGTTAACCCCACCATCTGGTCAGACAGCTGAGGGAACTTAACCATATGTGGGGGGCATATTTCTCTCTTGGGAAATATTTTTCTTACAGAATGATGCAATGGTTATCAGTTTCTATCTTACTACAGTAGGATCAAAAATATACTAAAATACTTTTTAGACAACCTGAGTTTAGTGGGCCCGGTATTTAACTGTTAATTATGTAAGAAAATAAGATGGCACTTACTTGAGGACCAGGCTGACCCTGAAAAAAAACAAGAAAAACAAAAGATTATGGAAAGTTATGACAAGGATGAACTCCTTAAATAATAGAAAATAGTTATAGTGATCTCTAATAAGGAGCTAACAAAATATACACTGCACTGAAGTCAGATTTTGGACTCTTAGGTTGATATTGAATTTGAGTGTTTTAATTCAAACTGATGAACTTTCTTGCAAATAACTGATTCTAGAAATAAATTGCAATAACATATTAAAACTGCATTTGAGAAACTTCTTAGTTTAGATATCATAAACAATTTGGAAATGATAGGAGGACTTAATTAACAGTTCTCAATTGAGAAAGAAGCCAGAGGTGCTGAGCTGATTCAGAGTAGGTATTATGGGTTTTTCTCTTTCATTTCTTTATTACAGCTCACCTCCATACCTCAAGGAGATGCAAATTATTTACTACAACTGCTTATTGAATAAACAAAGTCTCAAAACCGGAGGAACACACTGCTGGACAAACAGTAGTCTTTTTGCCTTTGCTACAGCACCAGAGTTTTAAGCAAGTATAAACCATTATTTAAACCAGCAATTGCGGAAGGTCTGAGACAAACTTTTGTCAGTCAATCCAAGAAGACAGCTGATACATTTCCTCTCTCTTATTTATCAACATCCCCTTTAGATCACCCCTGGACAAGTGGAGAGGCACCCTTTGTGCACTGAGGAACTGTATTTCTTCTTACTGCAAGCTCTTACAGAGTAGAAATCCTATCCCTAATTTCCCTAGACCAGAAAAACCAATGAAAGCCATGAATTATTTTAGTGCCCTTAACAGAAATTGCTTGCATGAAGCAGAATTATTTTAGCAAACAGTACAGTAGCTGTGACTATAAACAACATGACCCAGACAATCAGCTCACAATGTAAGACAGAGGAAAATAATTACATATTTCTCCTTAGAGAGAATTCCTTTAAATGCCTAGGGCTAGCTTAGCTTCTGGTGTTTTATGACAATTAAAATAATACTTCAGTTAAACTGAAACTATGTTTCCTTTTGTTGACAGAAACTGAGCATGGAGACTTCTTTTAAATCTTATAAAACCACTTCAGTTGGAAGGTATTTCTACAGAGAGTTGAAATTTTCTGTCTGAACATCAGCAAACACTTTTTTACTGTTAACCAAGCATGGGACCATGGGAGATTGTGGAGTTTCCATTCTTGAAGACATTCAAAAACCATCTAGACATGATCCTGGGCAAACTGCCCGAGATAACTCTACTTGAGCAGAGAGGTTTCACCAGATGACCTTCAGAGGTCCCTTCCAACTTCAAGCATCCTGTGATTCTGGGCAATTTTAGATGAGGTGGGAGGCAGAAGCATTTCAACTGGGAACCATTATCAACAAGAAAAGCAAATGAAGAAATGCTTTTTATAGTGACTAATAAAACTTCTTGTGCCAATTAAAAACCACAATAAAAGGTATTTAAATTCACAAAAAGCTTTTAAAATATTTTTTAAATATATGTAATTATGTTACAGAGGAATAATACTAAAATACTGAATTATTGTGGCTATCTAATCTTTACACTGAATGCAGCATGAAGTATTTCTTGTTGGGGATGCTGCAGTTTTCTATTTATTCATTAGAACAAAACTGCACCATAGAGAACATAAAAAACCCCAAACTTACTGGCTGATGTTGGCAGTTCAAGTATTAGCTAAAACTTTCTGAGTTGGTGAGCTTGATGAAGTTACACATCATGCTGGGTTAATGAATACGATTGAGACTCCTCAGCACTCATATATTACCTCCATCTTCCCCTCACAGCAGGTTTTAAGCTATTTTATGTTATGCCTGATCTTAAAATCATCAGGAATTGCTTATAGATGCAGTACTGGGCAGCTGGTACAATGAAATTGTATCAATTATCTAAACGGAAGTCTGTGCCTGCAAACTTTATACAAAAAATTTAGAACACATTTGCTCACAAAAATATCTAAAGCTGCAATAGATTTTGACCAAATCATTAAGTGCTGTCTCCAACACACACACATATATATATACACATATGTGTGTATATATATACATAAAGCCAAAACTTAAATGAAGATCTGAAATTACCAAAATGTTTCAACAAACAGTTGATTTAAAGCAGTAGAAAGCAAATAAACTGAATATATGCATATATATTTTAACAATGAGATTTGCAAACTGACTTTTTTTCCTTCATCTAAGACACAGAGGCTGCTAAGGGTCCACATGGTACATGCTATATGTATGATACAAGAGACATACACACATAACACAAACATATCCTGAACTGAGTATGAGGTGAGGGTTGCAATCACGCTCCCACAAAAGTGTTTTATACTCTCAACAGCACCACTACTTGGCCTTTCTGGTACTGAGCATTTATAATTACTCTTCTTTCCTGTCTCCAATACAGAAAAAGCTGGAAAATGAATTTTTATAGGACAATGTAGACAGAAAATTCTAAGATATTGAGGAATATAATCACTGCATTACTCTTAGTTTATATACGCTGCCAATATTACCATTATCCTGCATTTAGCTATAAATGCAGATGCTGAATACAAAAGTACTCAAAAGCAGGATGATTTTAACCCCTTGGCTCCTTCAGCATGGAAGGAAATTTGCATTAATGAAAGCTATTATTTTCTGGTTTTTACAATGGTTCCTAATCCTTCAATATTACTTAGCAGTCTTATCTACTCCTTGCCCTACTATCCATTGCAGCTACAGTAGACTTTTCCCTCCTCAAAAGCAATCCAGTGACACTACCCAGAGGGTGCAGCAAGCACTGAGTTATGGAACTCATCAGCTCTTCTTACGAAGGTATGGGTAGAAAAGCATCACAACACTGACATTTTTAATTGTAAAGGGTTATTGTCACACAACAGCAATTCAATTAGGGGCTGTTAATTTCGCCTTCTCTTGTTTTTGCATGTTGTGAAAGAGTCAGGAAGAAAGCTCCTTGTGTTACTTTGGTGCTCATTAAAGAACTCTCTAATACATGAATTCAATTTGATACCATAACTCATTGGAGCAAGCTCAATCTCAATTTATCTGCTTGTGTTCCCAAAATGACCTCAGGACTGCTGAAATCAGTCTGGTTCACCGCTGCACAAATCGCCCCCAGTTCATGCTACTTGTGGATTAAAATGTTTTAGCTGTAAGTCTTTCTCTAAATTTTAGATAACCAACTAAATAAATAATACTAAATAAAATACTGTTCAAGACTGAAAAGTCAGCATTACTCTGATTTTTGTCTAATGACTATCTCTTTATTCAAATCTGTTACATACTCTGAAATTGATTAATTGATTCTAGCTACCAACTAATTGCTGTCTTTGCAGGCATTTAGGGATCAGTCCCACCACCACTGACTAATTAGGTGTATTTTGATGGCTGGTGCTTTGAACCTCAGATTATTGCTCATATACTTGATTATCCCAAGTGAATGCTGCTTTTTATATTATTATTTTTTTAAATCTAAATTACTACAATGGGTATAGCTGCTAATATCTCATGGTTTCAGTAAAATCTCCAGACAATTTTCCCTTCTATATTCCTATTTACTGGCTTAATACACTATTTTGAGGCAAACAAAGGGATTTGGTAACCTATTCTAATTGCCATGATGGAAGGTCTTCTACTGTCGCCAGTTAATCCCTTCCTAGAAATTGAAACCAGTATTAGCTGCTGATATATAAATGATATTAAAACAAAAATTAAAAAAAATCATGGTGTAACTAAAGTCAACAGGCAAGGTATCAATCCCCCAAAAGAGATTAAATAAAAAGCTCATTGACTGCATGTTGCAAACTTTACAGACAAGTTACTGAAAAAGTAGAAAGAAACCTCAAAGAGCAAAGAAAGAGGAGAAAATGAAAGCTGACACTGCAAGTAAACAAGTTGAGCTTGCAAAGGAAATGGAGCTTGTAGTAAGTAAAAGGATAGAAAAGAAAATAGGTATCCAGGGTATCAGTGAAAAGGGGTGCCCTGGGAAGGGAGAAAAGAGACGGAGTGAAAGCAAGATAAAGTGCCAAAACTGGATTTTCACACCTTTTTGCCATGGTGTTAATCTTTAAAGAGCTGGGAACATAAACTTCCAGGCTCATACATCTACACAAAGAGCTGTACAAATATACGCACAAGTACAGATGCGTTAACAAATGCATTGTATAAAATTAAATGTTATTTCTAACTTAATTCAAGCAGCATATCCCTAATGAATACCTGGAATATCAAACAAATGCATTTATTATGGTACATGAGGCTGTTCAGATTTAATCGGCCAACGCAATCCAGGCACAGAAATTAAAACACAAAAATTAAGAATTTGTGAAAGAAGGAAGAGTCACAGAAATGTAGTCAGCAGTGATATCCTGCTGTTTGAAAGGCACCACCAAACTACCCTTGGACAGAGCACCCAAGGAGGAACATCTGCCTTCCAATCTAATTCAGACAGAAAACGAAAAGTGAAGAGGAAGAGCAGAGCTGACCTCCATTTCCTTGCATAGGCACAAAAGACTGAAGTGGCTCTTCAGTAACCTGTTAAAAATCCATACTACTGGATTGCTACTGCTATGCTAAGTTATGCTGAAGGAAGACAGTATTTGACTAATACACATTTCAGCATAAGCAATTTCAAAAAGCAAAGAGGGGAACATGTGAAAGACCTAAATTACACTGGTTTTGAACAAATCACCTACCAGCTTTCCATCCATACCAATCGGACCCTGGGATAATCAAAAGTCAAAACAAAATGGAACAGTTAAATCAGAGTAACACTGAAGATGAGAGGGAAAAAAAACAGACTTGGGGAATACTGTGGACTTTAGAAAACGAGCAACTGTGTCAGCAGCTAAATGCAATACATTTTGAGAATGAAGGCACGGAAAAGAAACAACAAAAGAAGCAGACCAAAGACAGAATTAATAAAAACAGCATGGTGGGAAGTAGCCAAGCTGATGTTTAACAAAAGACAGGTTCAACATGCAATGAAGGAACGGTTAGTCTGGCAGATCACAGTGGTCCAACATAACCAAACATATGAAATAATGCATCTTGCTTTATTATTTTATTTCTGTTATTTCTTTAAATAACAGAAAATAGCTACTTACTTAGCCCATTTATTTACGTGGTTGCAACATAAAATCTCATAACTAATCTGTATTTAAATTTACATTATAGAAATTATTGTAAATAAGAAACTTTAGCTGACACCATCCACAGGGATACTAAAGATTTCCACAGACACCTTCTCTGAGAAGTCCTGTACCTTACTCCGCTTTCTCTTTTTTCCTTTGGGAAACATGGTATTTTCCTCACTAGTACTTCACAAGTTACTTACTTTCTTAAGAGTCCAGAAGCTGGTTGCAGTTATATGAATGCAAATTATGCAAAGGATTTAAAGTGGATGTATATTGCTGTAACGAGTAATTGGTCTTGTATCAACTGCCTGTTTAGGTGATCAGAGGAGAAAGAAGAAGGCTAAAGAAAGTTGGATTAATTTTAAATGTGATGTTTATTTGCTATGTCTTCTGACCGTGGGCAGTCAGGTCAACTTTCACTGGCAATGGAATAAGTGCAAGCAGAGTATGGCAGTTTTTTCTGCCCTTAAATGAATGTTTTAAGCTGAAATCGTGAACTCTCAGGTATTTGCCCTATGCAAATGGAACACTACTTTGTGTCTGCTGAAGAGAAGCTTTCTCTTAAATGCATCCAGACTTTCCGCCTGGAGCTTCATAGGCAGCCCTCTCCAGTCTGCCCCTCCTAAACATACAGCCCCTAGGGCTGACTGCTCACACTGCTAGATTTGGATCACTGCTGCTGAGGAGAAAAAACATAAAATACTTGCTGTTTTTATGCTGATCTATTTTATCCTTGCTGCATTTAGCCCCCTTCCTAAGCACTGCTCTGGCTTGTGAGCTAACAATCAGTGTAAAAGTTTAGGCTAAATCAGTTCTGCAGGGGTTCCGGTGCTACTTCATCCAGGAGTGCATATTCATACCTTCTGCACTATGACTAATAAATAATAATATGTACTACATATAGGTAGACATATAGTGAGCTAGTTCAACAAGCTATCAAGAAAACTATAAGCACTATGAAAAATTGCTGCCATATCATCCAGTGAGTTCCCTCAGTATCTGTCTTCTCCCACCCTAGATCCTGGACTATGCCAAAAATTCCAGACATACTTAACACGAACAGGGCCATCAGCTGGATGCACACATTGTCAAACTCATTATTTTTGGTACAGTATTGGCTTTGTGAGAAGCCCGTGCACTAACCTACTTGTCAGACCCAATAACAAGTTACTGGATCTGGGAAGCCCTACGGGAATAAAATGCCTTACCTCACTTTCCTGCCAGCCCTCGCTGTGTTTCCTGTCACATCATGAGTGGGTGACATGCTGAGAGTGCAAAACAGGTCATCAGCATCCTGGCTGTCTGCATGGCCACTACCTCATTTATGTGCTGACATCCTAGGGAAGTTTGTGACTGCTGGGATGACCTACTCTATCTTTCAGATGTTATCTATGAACAGTCCTTCCCTGGTGACAAGAAAGAAGAAAGCAACACTATCCAGTGGATTAAAATGCTAGAGCTTTTATTATTGTGTTTCCTCTGTGCCTCTTGATTCCATACATGCAGCACACACATAACACTTACTAATTTTCTCATAATTATTTAGTAAATTTCTAAATACGGTTCTATACACCCCAAAAATTAAGGCATTTCCAAGTTATTAGTTATCCCAGATTTTTTCTAGCACTGGGTACTACAGGATATTTACCTAGTAATATTTACACACACAGTCTGCTGCAGGTACAGAAACAAAGGCTGAGCTGAACTCTGGCTACGAATAACTTTACGTCTCGAAAACAAGCTAGAGATATTACCAGTTAGAACACTCAACAGTGGGATCATGATAAGCATGTAAAGTTCCCCTCAGGGCTTTGTGGGACAGCAGATAAGTTTAACTGCTAGGTTAGCCCAAAAGATTTAATTATGATGAATGAATGCAGAAAATTATTATGCAAGCATTTGTAGAAGGAAGATTAGGGGGTTAAACTAGCTTACAGCGACCATTCAACAGCTCTTGCACCTGTATTAGCGCTTGTATTGTCAATATAAGCACTGGTTTTAGGGAATGTTTCTGTATCAAAGGAAAAAAAAACACTATTTGTGCTCCTTTACAATGACAGGTGTTTTAAAACTACTATTGGATTTTTGCCTGCTCTTTATCCATGCTACATAGCTCCTGTACTTAAAATAAAGGACTATATGTAGCATCTTGAGGAGTCTCTGAAAGAAGATTCAGAAATTCCCAGCAGACTGCAGAGAAGCATCTGCTTCTCTACAAGAATGGAAAATAATAGGAATTTCTCCCATGACTCCATTTTTACCAGGGCTATTTGGTCTGACATCTCAAAATGTCTTTTGGGATTTGTTTTGCAGAACACAGGAAGAAAGCAAAACTGTCTTGAGACACACTGCCTTCCAGAAGAAAAAAATACTGTGAAACAGAATACTATTCCTTCATTATAAAAATACTGACTCTAACAGCCAAACACGACAATTTCCTTCTTTGCTAAATTACTTCTTTCTAGTGTTAGAAAAAGAGAGAAAGCACTTTTTAGAAACCAGAAAAGATTAGAAACTCCACAAAAAATACAGGCTGGATGACAAAGATGAGCTGAAATAGTACATGATGTTGCTTCAGGATGCACTAAGAAAAATCCTATACATGACAATATTTATTGAAATTCACTACAAGATTACACTGGAATTCCAAGTAATTTTCTTGATATAAGGAAAATTTAATTTTTCATTAATTTTTAAAAAAGAATTCAAGCCAAAGTCCATCTTTGACTTAAACATGAATGTCTTCAGAGCCACGCTATGTAGATCAAACCACTTTCTATAACATAACTGCCACTACTGATTAGCAAGTAATTTTTGGCAAAATGTACCAAATACATGGTCTTCCCTAACACAATCCCTGTAGTGCAGTTTAGAAAACTAGACAAGACAAAGAATCATGAAGAACTGGATGAGTAGGTTTAGTCAACACATGTACACAAAATATTTTTTCCCTTACTGTAGATAGCACAGATGGTATTAAAAGTGTTTCTTCTGGACTGTGTGTTTTCCCTCTAGGTTTCCACTACCACTTTTAAACACATGCTATGGCTGGATGCAGCAGGTTTTGCTGGGACAGAGTTAAATTTCTTTGCAGCAGTTCATGTGGGGCTGCATTTCTGCTGAAAATGGTGTTGGTAATAATATAGAGATGTGTCAGTGAGTGCTGAGCAGTGCTTATGCAGCATCAAAGCCTTTTCAGCCTCTCAGCCCACCCCAAGAGAGAGGGGACTGGGGGTGCTCAAGGACTTGGGAGAGGACACAGCTGGGACAGCTGATCCTAACTGATCCAAGAGATAGTGCACACCACAATGTATCATGCTCAGCATATAAAGCTGGAGGTAGAAAAAGGAAGGAAGCTTACATTCAAAGTGATGCCTTTGTCTTCCTAGATAACCACTAGCTGTGATTGAGCCCGCTCTCACAGAGAGGGCAGAATGCCTGCCTGCCCACACAAATTAATCCCTCGTTAATTGAGTTAATTAATTAATTCCTTGTTAAGTGAGTTAATTCCTTGTTTTGCCTGGCTTGTGTGCACACCTCTTGCTATAACTATCAAACTGACCTTGCCTCAACCTACAGGTTTTCTCACTTTTAGTCTTCCAAATCTCTCCCCCATCCCTCCAGGGGAGTTTGAGTGAGTGTTTGAGTGTGGGTGCTGAGTTGCCAGCTGGGTTTAAACCATGACACTATTTACTTACACTATCACATGCACTTATCCCCCCCCCCCCCAGAATCCTCAAAAGTTGTTTGTACAGTAGATTTCTTTTTTCCCAAATAGTACCCAACTATTTACCTAGCACATAACCACCTGTCTAGTAACCCTATAATGGACAGGTACAACACATGAGAGATAAGAAGAGAGTATGAGTCACATTTCAGGCTGGTGTTGCAAAAAGTAGCTTCCACTTCTCAAGAATACTGAAAATAGGATGTCTCTCAAGCAAAAATATGTTCAGTGCTTCACAAAATCAGCTGGTTTTCATTTAAGCAATGTCTTTTTTCTTTTTTGTTACTCTGCAGATAAATATTTTTAAGGATTTTAGGGGTTTTTGTTAGAAAGTGACTATGTAAGCAGTGGCCATCAGAAACCTTTCGAGAGTTTCTGTCAAATAGATGGCAAATGTTATTACTTAAGGCACTTTTAATGCAATAATAATTTCTTCAGAAATTTCTCACTGAAAAGGTAAGAAAAGATATTGTATGTTGAAATTTACTGTGTGATAAAAGAATCCTCCAAGCAAAGAAAAAAAGGTATGGATTATCTTCTTATTCTTAACTTCTCCACTCATACTTCAGTGATCTTTTTCAATCACGGAATACTCATCAGAACACTGAGTTGTGAGCCAGGACAAATAATAAACAGAAAATAGATATGATTCCTTCTTTATAAGCTAAAAAACCACACCCTATATAAAGGTATTTTCTTTATTTGATCTTTTGTTTGTTTTGATTTGGTTTTTTCAGAAACCAGAAACTCTTATCCTGACAAAATTATGTGCCTAAATTTGTTTATATTTATAAACTATCTAGTATAAATGCAATTGTTAGATTGTTACTTGCAGGTGCCTGAAAATCTCTCATGTTAA